AATGCTAGCATTCTGGCTCAAGCAAACACCATCAGCACTGAAGCCAGGTTTACAGAATCATAAAAAATTAGAGCTGGAAGGGACCTCAGGAAGTCATCTAGTCCAGTGGTCTCAAAGATTCATAGATTGTAAGGGGCTGGAAGGGACCTTGGAAGATCACTGGGTCCAGCCCCTGCACCAAGGAGGAAAGACAACTGGGGTCAGGTGACCCCAGCAAGGTGACCGTTGAGTCTCCTCCTGAAGATTTCCAGGGTAGGCGACCATACCACCTCTGGAGGGAGCTTATTCCACAGTTTGAACACCCTAGTTGTGAAGTAGTTTTTCCTAATGTTGAGCATGAAAGTCTTCAAGGAGCTTGTGACCATTACTCCTAATTTTCCCCGTGGATGCCCTAGTGAACAGCCCTTGATGTACACCTCTGATGTAGCAGTAAACTGCTACCAAATCCCCCCTCAACCTTATGGGTGGCCCTTCTCTGGACTCTCTCAAGCTTTACCACATCCTTGTTAAAGTGCAGTGCCCAGAACTGGACGCAATACTCCAGCTGCGGTGTCACCAATGCCAAGCAGAGTGAGAGAATCATTTCTTTGGTTTTGCTGGGGATGCATCGATTGATGCATGCCAAGGTACTGTTGGCTCTGCTAGCCAGAGCGTTGCACTGCCAGCTCATGTTCATACTGTGGTCAATTATTACCCCCAGGGTCCTTTTCATTCGTAGTGCTGGACAGGTTGGCACTGCCAAACCTGTAGGTGTGCAGGGGATTGTTTGTCCCCAGGTGGAGTACTTTACATTTATCAACACTGAATTTCATGTGGTTCCGGTCCACCCAACTTGCAAGCCTGTATAGGCTGCAGATACAGGTGGACCTATCTTCAAGCATGACCATGCTTCCCCGTAATTTGGTGTTGTTTGTGAACTTGGCCAGTGAGCTCTTCACCCCCACATCCAAATAATTAAGATGCTGAATAGCACTGGACCAATCTTAGACCCCTGTGGGACACCACTAGCTACTTCCCGCCAAGATGACACAGATCTGTTCACTAGAGCTTTCTGGGTCCTGCCCCGCAGACAGTTTCCTACCCACCTGACTGTCTTGCAGTTAAGCCCACAATCTCCCAATTTTCTCATGAAAACGTCGTGGGATACTAGACTGAAAGATTTTTAAAATTCAAGGTATATAACGTCAACCTCCTCTCTCTTATCCAGGTGGCAAGTCACCTGATCAGAAAAGGAGATGAGATGAGGCTGGTAAAATAAGACCTGCTTGCGCTGAAGCCATGCTGGCTGTCGCTCAGAATCCTACTTTCTGCAAGCCTATCGAGCATAGACTCCTTAATGAATTTTTCCAGGATTTTTCCTGGGATAGAAGGTCTCCAGCCTTTTAAAGTAGGAGATTAATTTTTTAATTAAAAAGCACCCCACAATCTACCACACACCACCCCCCCCCATCCTCCCTCCCCCCAACCTGCTGCCCAGCAGGTCAGTCTGTGGGGAAGGAGGAAGCAGATCAAGGCAGAAGAAGAAAAAAATTATTTGGGGGTGCACCCCCCCACCAGGTAAGTCTGTGGGAGAAGAGGCAGAGGGAAGGGAAAGGGCAGTGGCAGGGGAGAGAGGCAGGGCACATAGGGGTCCTAGAGGCAAGGGAGGGAGCGAGGCAGGAGCAGGGGCTGGAAGGAGCAGGGCCCCCACTGGGCCAGGTGGTAGGAAAAGTGGAGGCCTAGGGGGTACATGTGCCCTGCCCCACTTGTTCCATCACCAGGCCCAGCAGGGGCCCCACAACCCCCAGCCCCTGCTCTGCTCCCCCCCTCATCGCGGGGGCCTTGATACACTCCCTCCGATGGCAGTGAAGGAGGGAGTGAGGCTAGGGAAGGCCCTGCATAGCCTAGGCACGGAACAAAGCCACGAGCGGCTTATCTGGGGAGCACAGGGTGGGGGAGGCATGTGACCCTGGATCTTTATGGGGCGGGTCAGGCAGGGGTGTTGGGCATGGCTGCACCCAGGCTGGGCAGCAGTACTGGAAGCAGGGCTACGTGGGGGAAGAGGGGCATAGCCCCCCCCTCCCAGCATCACCACTGCCCACCCCTGAGCACAGCACAGCCCTGTCTTCGCCAGCAAGAGCCCAGCACAGCCTCATCCTTCAGTGGCAGCCTGCCCTCCCCCACGCAGATCCAGGGCACATGCCTCCCATGTCCTTGGTAAGGGGTGGGAGGAAGTGGCAGGGGGAGAGGAATGCTGCACTGGCCTTTCCCCAGAAGGGGCTGGACCGCGCTGCGCTTAGGGAGGGCAGCTCATTGAAAATTGGCCATTAGTATCGGCCCAAAAAAATTGCTATCAGTGCACCACTACTAAACAAGCAGGTTCCCTTGCTTGGTAAACTTCCAACCTGCTATGTCTCCTTTCAATATTACTTATTGCTCTGCTCCTTTCAGCCAGCTCCTTACCAACCTCAGAATTTCTTTACTTTACTAATAAATTCCCCCATGGTTCCTTATACAAATTCAGGGACAAGAACTACCACACATCCTTAGTCTGTCAGTTCTTATCAAGCAAAAGTACTGTTAGTCCAGTACAATTTGCATGTGATAAACTCATGCTGCATTGTATGCCATTTTCCCAGTCTTTAATTAACCTGTTCTTCATGTTCTGTCCTAAAGCCTTGCATATTATGGAAGTCAGCCTTACCAGCCTGTAGTTGCCAAGATCAATTCTCCCTTAAATAAAGATTTAAAACTTCAGTAGCAAATGTTAAAAATCATTGCTATTTATATCTCATCATAAAGACGAAAGCAAATGTAGGATTCCATGCATGGTAGCTACATGGAACATGGTATAATGTTGATTCAAGCTAGAACATGCAGTTGTCATCATTTGCTATCCTCCAACCACACATTACCACCCCCAACTTGACAGATGTTCTCTTTAAAAAGAACCTTGCTACTAGACTTGCCATTTCACATGCCAATTCTTTCAGAATTCTCGAATGGAGATCATCTGACTCCCGCAACGTGAGTGTTACATTCCTAAAGTATTTTGATTCCAGTTGTGCAAATTGCCAATCAGCCATTCTGTTTTTGCCCTGAGGCCAATATCATAATCTCAGGTTTCAATAAAAAGATCAAGTATTCAGTTAGTTCCTGGGCAATTGCCAGATTATTCTTAGCCCAAACTCCACCCCCATTAGTGACCCCCTTCTTTCTATGTTCTTTATTTATATGACTGAAGAAGCCTTAATTTTATAAAAGCTACTAAAACAAAAAGCAAGTGTTGCATGATCACAGCAATTCTCACTGTCTTTGAGGTCAAGAAGTGTAGGGATCCCTCCCTTTCCTTGGGGATACTTAAATGCAACAGTTACAACATATCAATCATTTGATATCAACATAACCCAGCTGATGCACTCAAGAGCAGCAGCTCTTCTTGCCCTTGTAAGCAATTAGAAGGTATGTTTGTCCACACTCTTTGAGCATCAGTCCTTTTTCCCCATGCTTTGTAGATACTGTTTATTTCGACTACCTACCCTGAGAAGGCTATTCACCAACACTAGTCTGAGTCCCCTTCTTGCAATATTTTTCTTCTTGCTCAAGGTATACCCTGATCTCTGGAATTTTTTCTTCAGCACAAAGGTACTCTCATACTCCTCAATCCAGCTGGATTACTAAACTTTACCAAAAGTTTGTCATTTGCTGTTTCTCAAAGCTTTATCAGATGCAACAGAAGTGACCTAGTGACTGTTTTACAAAAGGAGAGGGAAGAGGAGACAGTGGAAACAGATTTAGATACTAAAAAGGTACTGAACCATGAAGTTATCTGAGGCTCGGATTGCATTTTCAGATACCCACACTCTTCATTACCGAGAGCCCTTTCCTTATGACACCAAACAAAAACAAAACATCCTTCAAGATTTAGGAGCATCTAAAACCTTGTATGTTCAGAAAATGTTCTAAAGCTGTGAAATGCTCATATACACTCTTACTGCTAATGATTCAGATACTCCAAGGTGCATCTAGACAAGCTATACCACTATGTATCACTGACACTATTATTCAAATGCAGTTACACAAGCGTTTCTAGTATCAGTCTGAGCCCCTAATACCACAGAGGAATCCCAACAGAGACCAGATAAAAATATGAAAGAGAAGCCAAGGCCAGAATGTCCAAGAGATCAAGTACAGAAAGCAGATAAAAAAACCACTAAAAAACCCCAAGGAGCTCGGACAGTAGAATGAGCCTGCTTTCAGCCCAAAACAACGTAGTACTTAGCCACACTCCCTGTTCCTTCTTTCTAGGTTCCGGGAAGAGGAACTGCAAAAGTCATGCAAACCAATGGTCCCTCCATGGTTGTTGTCACCAGCAGCAACCCAGTGAAGCTGCTTCTGAGAAAGGCAAGAGGGTTTCAGCAAGAAGCAACTGTTTGATTAGCCTGCTCTTTCAGCATCTCCTATAAGCCCCATGGGTCTCGGTTCATCGACATGATTACTACATGGGAAGTTTACTACTACAGACAGTTTCACAACCACTACAGTTCCCAGCAGTGCTAAAGGGATGGTCACACCCGCCCCTATTCCGGGACACTTCCCCATCCACACAGGCCCTACAGACTGAACCAGGAGGAGCCACCCCTACCCCAGAAGCTCCTCATCTATTGCTCCCTCAATGCTCTCCATGTTCTGGCAAATCACCCACACTGCAGACAGCAACCTTGCCTAAAGCTGCCGGGGCCTCCTGCAGCAGGGGGCTGGGAGGAGGGAGGCAGGGCTCCCCTTCCCACACGACCCTGCCCGCTCCGCGCTTGCTCCCAGCGTCAGGGAAGGGGGAGGGAGCGCGGGTGGGGGGGGTCCTCACCCGCCCCGGAGGGCAGGGACCGGTACCGCCGTCTCCCCGGAAGGGCCCGGGGAAGGAAGGAGCAGCAGCAGCGACCTCTCCCACCAAAGTGCCCCGCGCCGCGGCCGGGCGCTGGGCTCGGTAGCCCGGCAGGGGAAACCACCTCAGCGGGCCTCACCCTCCAGGCTCTCGCACTGCACCAGGTTCACGTAGTCGCCCTGGCTTAGGACGCCCGCCTTGAAGCCGCGCACCAGCCCCTCCAGGTAGCCGTTGTCCACGTTGAACTCGGGGAAGCACGACATGGCGGCGGCGGCAGCTGCGAGAGCGGCCCGGGCGGCGGCGCCGGCAGCACAGAGCGGACGCGCCCGGCAGCTCCCAGTCACGTGACTCCGAACGGACTCACGTGACAGCGGGTGCCGGAAGCGGCCGACCAGCGATCCCAGCATGCACCGCGCGGCGATGTTGGGGTTGGAGGCGAAGGGGGAAGCCGGTTCCGCTGGCTACGGGAGCCCGCTGGGGCCAAGGCTGCCTACGCGGACCGTCCCGGAGCGAGCAAGGACCGGAAGTCGTCTCCCGCCGCTCCAGGGCGCGGCCCGCGCGTGCGCAGCGTGTGCCGGGCTCAGGCCTCCGCGAGCCGCTCCGCTCGTGGCGCTGCGGGGCCCGGGGTCGAGGTTGTCCCCTGGAGCGCGCGCATGCACAGCCCCTCCTGTTCCTGGCGTTGCGTGAGTGTCCCGAAGATTGCGTCGGCACACGCTTAGTGATCCCCTCCAGTAAGGGGCTACGTCTGTGTGGGCCCAATCCTACAGCACCCCGTGCATACCAAATACGCCTGCTCTGCATCTGAAGACCCTGTTCTGGGGCTGGGCTGATGACCTGTAGGAAGCAGGTGCCGCACAGGATGGGATTTCTTTCTTGCTTTGGGTTTTCTTTTTTTTCTAACCTCTTAAAAGCTAGAGCATTATAACCCAGACCGCTGCCTTAACTGGCACTTCCATCTTGAACTGTTGAAGCCCGTAAGAATGCCAGAGCTGCCCTGCGATCTTCATTCAACCCCCGTCTGCGTAGCCTTTATAGTACGGTCCTCAATAAACTGATTGCAGCCTGCTCCACAGAAGCCCTTTTGTCATTCAGGACACAGCTTGAGCCAACTCACCAACCCCAGTCACTGTGCTACCTGTATGCACCCCAATGAGAACCTGGATTTTGGGCTGGGATTATACCCAGAAACCCTTCTTGGGCCACCTCAGATCACACCTCTGTGCCACCAGGGGATGCTTCTGGACATCTCTGACCAGAGATTTGCCTGTCGCAAAATGCAGTTTGGCTGTGCCAGGCTGCCAACAGACAGCACCCCAGCCACCGCTAAATACACAGAACTGAAGGGAGCTGGATTTTGGGCTGGGATTATAGCTGGAAATCCATCCTGGGCCACCCCAGAACATGTCTCTGTGCCATTGCGGTACTGTCCTGGACATGTTTGAGCAGAGACTTGTCTGGCCCAAAGCATGGTTTGGCCGTGCCAGGCTGCCAACACACACCACCCCCCAGATACTGTGATAAGTATCTGGAACTGAATAAGAACCTGGATTTTGGGCTGGGATTATACCCAGAAATCCTTCTTGGGCCACACCAGACCGCACATCTGTGGCACCGGGGGACTGTCCTGGACATCTCTGACCAGAGACCTGCCCGGCCCAAAGTTCAGTTCGGCTGTGCCAGGCTGCCAATAGACAGCACCCCAGCCACTGTGCTAAGGATCTGGAACCGAATAAGGAACTGGATTTTGGGCTGGGATTATAACCAGAATCCCTTCTTGGGCCACCCCAGACCATGTCCCTGTGCTACCGGGGGACTCTCCTGGACATCTCTGAATAGAGACTTCCCTGGCCCAAAGCACAGTTTGGCAGTGCCAGGCTGCCTAGAGGCAGTACCCCAGCTGCTGTGCTAAGTATAAGGAACTGGAATTTGGGCTGGGATTATACCCATAAACCCTTCTTGGGCCACCCCAAACAAAACCTCTGTGGCACTGGAGGACTCTCCTGCAGATCTCTGACCAGAGATTTGCCCGGCCCAAAATGAGGTTTGGCTGTGCCAGGGTGCCAACTAACAGCACCCAAGCCACTGACCTAAGTGTATGGAACCGAGTAAGGAACTGGATTATGGGCTGGCATTATACCCAGAAATTCTTCTTAGGCCACTCCAGACCACACCTCGGTGCCACCAGGGGATATTTCTGGACATCTCTGAATAGAGGCCTGCCCAGTTCCAAAGTGCGGTTTGGCCGTACCAGGCTGCCAAAACACAGCACCCCAGCCACTGTGCTAAATTAATGGACCTGAATAAGGAATTGGATTTTGGGCTGGTATTATAGCTAGAAATTCTTCTTAAACCACCCCAGACCATGTCTGTGTGCTACTGGGGAATGCTTCTGGGCATCTCTGACCAGAGATTTGCCCGGCCCAAAGCATGGTTTGGCCGTGCCAAGGTGCCAACAGACAGGACCCCAGCCACTGTGCTAAGTATATGGAACTGAATAAGGAACTGGATTTTGGGCTGAGATTATACCCCAAAATCCTTCCTGGGCCACCCCAGACTATGTCTCTGTGCCACTGGGGGACTCTCGTGGACATCTCTGAACAGAGATTTGCCTGGCCCCAAGTGCGGGTTTGCAGGCTGCCAACAGACAGCACCCCAGCCACTGTGCTAAATATATGGACCTGGAATTTGGGCTGGGAGTATACCCATAAATCCTTCTTGGGCCAAATCTGGGTATAATCCCAGCCCATAATCCAGTTCCTTATTCAGGTGCATAAAGTTAGCACAGTGGCTGGGGTGCTGTCTGTTGGCAGCCTGGCATGGCTGAACTGCGCTTTGGGCTGGGCAAGTCTCTGGTCACAGACGTCCAGGATAGTCTCCCAGTGGCATAGAAGTGTGGTCTGGGGTGGCCCAAGAAGGATTTCTGGGTATAATCCCAGCCCAAAATCCAGTTCTTTATTCAGTTCTATTTACTTAGCACAGCGTCTGGGGGGTTGGTGACAGTTGGCAACCTGGCGCGGCTAAACCGCATCTTGGGCCGGGCAAGTCTATTCAGAGATGTCCAGAAGAGCCCCTCGGTGCCAGAGAGGTGTGGTCTGGGGTGGCCCAAGAAGGACTTCTGGGTATAATCCCAGCCCAAATTCCAGTTCCTTATTCAGGTCCGGATACTTAGCACAGTGGCTGGGGTGCTGTGTTTTGGCAGCCTGGTACGGCCAAACCACACTTTGGGCCGGGCAAGTCTCTATTCAGAGATGACCAGAAGCATCCCCTGGTAGCACCGAGGTGTGGTCTGGAGTGGCCTAAAAAGGATTTCTGGGTATAATCACAGCCCATAATCTAGTTCTTTATTCAATTCCATATATTTAGCATGGTGGTTTAGGTGCTGTCTGTTGGCAACCTGGCACGGCCAAGCTGTGCTTTGGGCCAGGCAAGTCTCTGGTCACAGATGTCCAGGACAGTCCCCCAATCGTGCAGATGTATTCTGATGGGTGGCCCAAGCAGAATTTCTAGCCATAATCCCAGCCCAAAAGCCAATTCCTTATTCAAGCCATTATACTTAGTATAGTGGGCATGGGGGCTGTTAGCTGGCAACCTGGCACGGCCAAATCGTGCTTTGGGCCAGGCGGGACTGTGGTCATGTTTCTTTGGGACAATCCCCCAGTGGCATCGCCACAAAATTTGGGGTGGCCTAATTAGTATTTTTTCCCATAATCCCATCCTAATCTGACTTTTGTTTAGGGCTCTGTACTTAATGTGAGACATTATTTTACTTATTAATTCGTATATATGCATAGCTAATGATATTCTGTCTCTTTAGGATGTGTAATTCATTAATAACAAGTTTTTATTGGGTCTAGATGAGCTTTGAAAAAGGATCTGGGAACCGGGAATAAGAAACCAGGAATAAGGAATAGGAAACTGGGAATAAGGAACTGGGAATAAGGAACCAATTTCAGTCTCATCCCAGTCGGAAGGTGTGCTCTAAGCATGTTCACTAAATTAAGTCCCACAGACAAGATAGGGCAATGTCTAGTTCAGGGGTGGCCAACCTGCAGCACAGATACCCCAGGTGACATGGTTAGTTTCTGTGTGCTATGCAGCAGATTAGAGAGGGGCAGGAAGCAGAAACAGAGTAGCAGATCAGGCAGGGGAAAGGGATCAGAGTGGCATTTGAGGAGAGTGCCGAGCTAATTTGTGGCAAGCCTGCCTAAAAGGTTGGCCCCCACCGGTCTAGGTTGTAAATCTTGATGGGGTTTCAACATGATTTTAGATACTAAATAGCTTATCACTACCAAGTCTTAAGCAGTTTGGGGCATGCCCAGAGCAGATTTATAGGCAGCTGTGAAACTTTGCTGGCTGAATGTTAGATGCCTAAGGCTTTAGACATCTCCAGAGTTAGGTAGTAGCTGAGCTGGGGTTTTGGAGTTCTAAATTTTAGACTTTGGTTGCCAAATTGTTTTGTATATCCAGCCCCACTATACTGTGGGCCTGTGGAGCATGTTGTAAGTAGAGCATAGGATCATATACTGAATGAAACGTTAAGTGACTGATTCACTCCTTGAGCACTGTCTGCATTGTATGCCCAATGAGGCAGGTGTTCTGTAGAATAAACACTCTGTTGTCCTGTACCTAAAGGCAGTACCATAATGTAAAGACAATCATAATCCTGGCATTTCCCAAAATTAAGTGCATTCTTTTAATGTGTATTTCTTCATAGATAATGTACTAGGCCTGTGCGAGTCATCAGTGATCCGATCCGGCTTCGGATCCAGCCGCTTCAGTTGCCTGCGATCCGATCCGGAGCTCCAGACCGGGTTTCTGCCTCGATCCGGACGAAGCAGCTCCGAAGCTTTGGAGCCACCTCGGAGATCCGGCCATAGGGTATAATGGGGAATCAATGAATTATCTATAACTTTGTTGTTTTTTGTCCGTTTTGTATGAAACTTGCAGGGATTGTAGCCTCTGCTGAGAGCATGAAACCTGTCAAGTTTCAAGAAGATCGGTATAGGGGTTTGGGCGGAACTGTACCCCAAATTCTTGAAAGCCAAACTCATGTCACAACTGTGTTACAACACAGGGGGGTCAAAACTGCAGGGCTGGTAGGTCTTACTGAGGCCACAAAGTCTGCCAAGTTTCAAGAGGATTGGTGCAGGGGTTTGGGGGGAACTGCACCTCAAGCTGTGGACAAGCAAAACTCGTGCCATGGGTGACACTGGGTGTGTTAGGCGCAGCAGGGTGACAGCTGCAGGGATGGTGGCCCATGCTGAGGCCACAAAGTCTGCCAGCTGTCGAAGAGATCGGTGCAGGGGGGTTCTGGGGCCTGGCACCCCTAGCTGCTGACAGACAAAACTCGAGCCAAGACTGTCTCTTTC